TTTCGCATAGCTTTATTATCCTGTCCGTCGCTTTACGCAACCGTAAAAGATGTTCATGAGCAAGGTACAGACAGGATGACTTTGTAAATAGCTGATTTTGTATATTTGAATTTTCCTTTCAGTTAACATCTTTGAGTATGATCGACGTTTCGCTGCCTTTGGAACTGATTTTGTACATTACGATTTCAATGAAGCTTCTGCGGACTACTTAGTCGAGTATCACAAATGCTACGATTTAATCATTGCTGATCCTCCATTTCTGTCCGAGGAGTGCATGACTAAGATGTCACAGATAATACTTAGTTTGCAGCGCAACAGTGCATCTAAAGTGATTTTTTGTTCCGGTGAAGTAGTTGAACCTTGGCTGCTTGCCTGTTTGCCTTTGCACAAATGTGAATTTCGACCAGAACATGAACGAAATTTGGGCAATGAATTTGTTAGTTATGCTAACTTTAATTTTGACCATTATATTGTAAATAAATAACACATGGTAGATCGACGACTGTGAAAATTGAAATTGTGAGTGTGTTTGTGTTTTTTATTTGGCTGGTACATCCGCTTCCTTGCGCTGCTGCACCAGCTCACGTAGTCCGTCCTCCTGATCCTTAAGCGACTTTTGCAGAAATTCCTTTTTCTTTTCGAGCAGTTCGATGGCTTTATCACATTTATCCTGCTTGGCCTTTAGCTCATTGCGCATACTATCCAAATCAGTTAACAGAAACATGCGACCCACCGACATGTAGACCCTGTTGAATTGTATTTTATATTAGTTTAGACACTCAGCTCTTAGATACCAACTCCCTAAGGACTAACTTACTTGGTGTCATCTGTTAGATTGCTGGTGCTTTTCTCTGTTAGCGAATACTTTTGTTTCCCCGTCTTCACCATGTCGCATTTCATGTCAATCATGCTTATTTTTTTCGTCGTTTCCAATTTATTTATTTGCATTTCCGTGAAGGCCTATTAAACGGGGTTGGGGTTGGGTTAGGGCACGAATGAGTGTATTTTTTTCTGGGTACACCACGCGCTGTGTACCGGCAGTTGCTTTGTTGCATTTAACTTGTGGGGTCACTTACCTTCTTCAACTCCAAATCCATTTGAGCCATTTTGTAGTTGCGCTTTTAGCCTTTGTTATTTATTTAGTAAAGTTTTCGTTTTGGCCACTAATTCCTCACAAATTTAAACACCTGCGTCCAGCTTTGGAGTTTTGTAGATGGATAACTAATTCGAGGAGGTAAGTCGATAGAATATTAAAACGATATATTTAAAATGCAAAAGTGTATATTTACATGCACGATTAAATATTTAAAATATTTATTTCAATGGTCTTAATTTTACGTTGCTCGCAATACTTCAATTATATCTAATTATTCATACATATATATATTCATTCTTAAAAAAAGAGTTTTTGTTTTTTAAATTTATTTTAAACTGCAGCAGCTGTTGTTTATATGATACTCGAACAAGTTGGCATCCCCGGCAGTCAAAGTAAAATTATTTGTGTAGCCAGAACCTTGTGTATTTAATTTTTATTTATTCAAGACTGAAAGTTATGGCTTTGGTGTCTTTATTGTTTTTATTTATGCTTGATAACGGGAGAGAAGGAATACAACTGGAACTGGCTTCCTGATGTTATATATTAGACTAAGACGTAAATATATTCGGTTCTGTACAATTTTGAACGAGAAATGGAAAACAATATAAAACAACCGCTTGTTGGCGACATTGATATTGGACTTGTGAAGATTGAGCATGATGAGATGCCTGATATTAATATTGTAGAAAAAATGGAATTGCAGTGGGAGCAGAACCAACAAAAACAACAGCTTCGTCCAAAGCCGTAAGCAAAGCCAAGCCCTCAATTTAATATACATATATGTATACTTATTTTGTATTTATTATTTTTCAGATTTCATCGGGGTAAGATCTAATATTTAGAGAAATTTTGATTTAAAACTCGCAGCAAGTTTTTGTCTTTAAAAGATTTCCCAATTGGAATACGCATTTACTTGCGGTATTTTAATTGTGTGGGATTTTTAAGGGAATTTTTATTCATAAATTTTAGCAAACTGTATTGTATTTTATTTATTTAAGGGCAAAGAATGGTCAACTGGCGCGAAGGAGAAGTCAATTATTTAATTGATTTGGTTAAAAATAATTCCTATGTTTGGAATAGTTCTGTGCCCGATTTTAAGAAGAAGCACAAGAAAGCATTATTTTGGGAACTTGCTGCAGATAAAATAAATAACGCTCTAAATCCAAGGACACCGTTTACAAGAAGTAATGTAGTTAAATATTTAACATTCAATTCGAATTTACTCAATCATATAACTATGTTTATTCTTAGATGATTGTTTCAAGAAATGGAACAATCTACGTACCTATTTTCAAGCGGAAGTGAAGTCTATTAAGATAAAAAATAATGGTGGCACCTCGGATGGCGAAGAGATCAGTGGCGGCTGGAAGTATAGTTCGAAGATGAGCTTTTTGATTGGCACGCGCTTGCCTCAAATAGCTGTAAATGCGATTAACAATAACGAACATTCGGTATTAAATGCACACAGCTTACATTTATTTAAGTACTTCTAATGAGAACATATATCTGTAGGTGTTCGATGCAACGACCAGCTTATCCGATTCTAATGGCGAATCGGAAATGGAAGTTTCAAATCAAGAACCTCAGGAAAATGATTGTAAGGAATCGATTGCCATTGTGGATGAACTGCATCAGTCGCCACCAGGTTCACCGCAAACAAAACGCAGGAAAAATAATGACTTACCAGATGGACCGGAGAATATTATACCCCAAAACATGCCGAATAATGTGAATAAATTGCCTACGAACGCGCTGGCTAGTCAATTCAATAAAAGCGAAGAGTCGCGTTCGTATTACTATAGCAAATATGTTGGCCAATGCTTGGATAAGCTGGATGCTGATCTTAATTTGGAGGCTAGAGAGAAGATAAGCGAAATATTATTCAAATATGAGAAAGTACAATTGAAGCGATCATAGACTGATATACTTGTTAAATATATACACATATTGTGTTAGGCTACAATGTAAATAATTAAAATGTATTTAATATATAAGTACACAATATGATGTAGTTAATAATTGGAGACAACTATGCTTGGCAACAAAATTACAATTTGTTTAAGTACTTATAGTATATATTTATATGTTACCAATAGAAATCA